GGTCCTGCGGGCAGCTGGAGGGCGTCCCGCAGCCCCGTCACCCCCAGACTGGGGCCAAGCGCCCGCTTTGCCAGACTCGGCTCTCTGGCCAGAGCCCACTGCCCTGGGCCGCTGCCGGCCGGGGACGCCGATGCAGCTGGAGCCCGGGGGTGGGTCTGCGGGAACCCGACTTCAGGCACAGTCCTCGGAGCCTCGAGCTGGGCAGCACAGCGGCCACTCGCCACCAGCGGACAGAGTCACCGGCTGGCCAGTTTTCTAGCCCCGACCCCGACTTCACCGCCCAGAGCGACACTCAGGCTGAGAAGCTGCACGACGGCGCCAGCTGGCGAGGGGCGGGCCAGTGCATTCCCGCTGCCCACAGGTGGACGCCACCTGGGGGCCAGACAGGTGAGCACGCCCAACCCAGTTCCGGCAAGGATGTGAAAGTGGGGCAAGCCAGATGGAGAGGACAGGACCCCAGGGCCAGATAAGCCCCAGGGACACAATTTCGGAGGCGGGAGCCATGGGTGGGGACGGGTGTCCGGGCGAAGGGCCAGCGTGAGGACACTGGAGGCCACGGCGCCGGCCACTGGAAATGGCGAACCTGGCACACGTTCTGCTGGCTGACCACAAGGAAAACCAACGTAGCCCCACAGGTGATGGCTTCAAATGGCACCCCAGGGGTGGACAAGGGCGCCCCAAGAAAGAACCACCGTGGCCGGCTGGGGGCTCGGCCTGGCGGCAGGGGCGAAGCACAAGGTGCCGCAGACCTGGAGCTGTTCGGCCTCCCGGCGGCAAAGCCTTCCCGACCCGACCCCGTGAAGGCTCCTCTCCAGCCGCACCGGGAGGCAGCTTGTGCCCGGGACCTTCCCAGCAGGGAAGCTGCAGCCCACCAGTAACACTTCTCCATCCCCTCCCCAAGGGACCCAGTGACTGTCACCTGCACCGCGCAGGGATGACGCCCCCCCCTTGCAGGCCGCTCCCCAGGGCCCGGGAAGCAGCCCGCGGGGGGCCCCGTCGGGACCCCACAGGCGCC